TCTCTCTTTCTTTCTCTTTCTCTCTTTCTCCTTCCTTCCTTCCTTCCTTCCTTCCTTCCTTCCTCCCTTCCTCCCTTCCTTCCTTCCTTCCTCCCTTCCTCCCTTCCTTCCTTCCTTCCTCCCTTCCTCCCTTCCTCCCTTCCTCCCTTCCTCCCTTCCTCCCTTCCTCCCTTCCTCCCTTCCTCCCTTCCTCCCTTCCTCCCTTCCTCCCTTCCTCCCTTCCTCCCTTCCTCCCTTCCTCCCTTCCTCCCTTCCTCCCTTCCTCCCTTCCTCCCTTCCTCCCTTCCTCCCTTCCTCCCTTCCTCCCTTCCTCCCTTCCTCCCTTCCTCCCTTCCTCCCTTCCTCCCTTCCTCCCTTCCTCCCTTCCTCCCTTCCTCCCTTCCTCCCTTCCTCCCTTCCTTCCTCCCTTCCTTCCTCCCTTCCTCCCTTCCTCCCTCCCTTCCTTCCTCCCTTCCTTCCTCCCTTCCTTCCTCCCTTTCTTCCTCCCTTTGTTTCTTTTGTTCTCTCTTCTTCCTTTTTTCTTTTTTCTCTTTCTCCCTTTTTCTCTTTTTCTCTCTCTTTCCTTCTCTCCTTCCTTCCCTGGCTGATCTCCAGTGTTATAAATTTGCTGCAGTTTAGAGCTGAGTATTCGAAGGTCGCATCAGCCATAGATTCCAAATGATGCACTCGGGCACAGAAGCAGGATTTTCTAGTCGAAGGGGCTGTATGCTCCGACAGAAGTGGAGTGAGGAGAGTCCTCTAGCACTTGCAAAGAGAGGGAAGAGGAGGAGAGATACCTTGCCAGGGGAGGTCCAGCAAGGGAAGATAGGGAACACAGTGGTAAATCATTGGCAAAGAGGATGAGAGGGGAGAGGGATGATACATGTCCCAAGTCACCCACAGCCAGGGGCAGGGAAAAGTTATTATTTCCTTTCTACTACTAACAAAGTCTGTCTGCAGGGTTGCATGGCGAATGCAGCAAAGGTAGGAGCAGTACCAGATTTTTCTGAGTCTCATGAAGATACACTCCTCAGTCACAAGACTGACAAGGCTGTAATTTATCTTCCGTACACGCACCTTCCCTCTCCACTATGATGAGATTTAATATCTAATCTCTATACTGAATAATATCTCAGCTGTCAAAAGCCTGGAATTCTTACATTGGGGGAAAAAATAAAGAACGTGTATAAATGGCAAACAAATAGTATTCTAACAATATTTAGTCTTTGCCAGTCAATATCGGCAATATGAACACATGTAAGTAAAAATGTAAAATTTTATATAATAATCAACATGATGCTGGCTTAATAACATAAAGAGTATGTGCATATGCACAGACTAGCCTTTATTTTAGGCCTGATCCTATTCCGATTTTAAACCCTGGCTTTAGATGCCTCAACAGCAAATCTATAAAGGACTTTAAGCACATTGAATTGCAAAGAATACAAACCGGTTCTTTTTTCACGCTGCTGTAAATGAAGAATAACTTCAGTGAAGCTGCTGTGGCACCAGCAAAGGCCAACAGGTGAGGAAGCAGGGTGGCAGTGCTCTGTGAGGAGGTGGTCAGCCAGCCCTGTTCTCTCCTGAAGCCTGCAAGGATGGAACAAAGCTTGAAGAGGGGTCTGGGAGGGGTATCTTCCTCTTATGTTGCAGGAGGCTCCAAGGGGAGAGAAGTTCCTGGGGACATACCATAAGCCCTCTTGTGCTCTGTCTTTATTAAAGCTCTCTAATTCTTGTGGGCTCTCTTGTGTTCAGCTCTGCAGCTCTGCCTTCTATATGAGAGAGGGGCAATAAATGTCCTCTGTGGTACCTTCCCCTGTTTGCCTCCCCTGACCAGGAACAGGCTGGTGATGATGTTTGGGCTATCAGTGACTTAATTAAGAGTCCAGCTGTGGATTGTGTTATTTTTCCTGTGCAGTTTTCTGTTTGTAGGTTCAGGAGCTCTGATGGTCAGAGGCTATCGCTGTTATTAGAAGGGCTTTGCCAGAAAACACGAAGACCTTCTCCTGTGCTGCTGTGATCCAATCTAACACCACCTGGGTCTCTCAGGTTTCTTTTCTTTGAAAGCAATATCCCAAGTACCTGTTGTGAGATTGGAGGCGTGGGAGAAGGGAAAGGAGGTTCTCAGACAGTAAATAGCTCCTTTTCAAACTGGCAACCTATCACAAGTGGGGTCCCTCAGTGATCAATACTGGACCCAACACTGTTTAACATCTTCATAACTGATCTAGATGATGGGATCAAATGTATCCGGACAAAGTTCACACCAAACTGCGTGGGGAGGTAGGCACTTCAGAAGGGAAAGCCACCCTGCAGGAAGACCTGGACAGGCTGGAAGAGTGGACTACTAAGAACCTTATGAAGTCCAACAAGGACAAGTGTAAGGTCTTATACCTGGGGAACATAATCCAGGAGTGCAGCATGGACTGGGATCTACCCAGCTGGGAGGCAGCCCTGTGGAAAGGGATGTGGGGTCCTGGTGTACAACAAGCTCAATAGGAGTGAACAGTGGTGCTGCTGCACCAGATGCTGGGTTGCATCAACAGGGGCATCACCACTACTAAGAACCTTATGAAGTCCAACAAGGACAAGTGTAAGGTCTTATACCTGGGGAACATAATCCAGGAGTGCAGCATGGACTGGGATCTACCCAGCTGGGAGGCAGCCCTGTGGAAAGGGATGTGGGGTCCTGGTGTACAACAAGCTCAATAGGAGTGAACAGTGGTGCTGCTGCACCAGATGCTGGGTTGCATCAACAGGGGCATCACCAGCAAAGATAAAGAAGTCATTACCCCACTCTAGACAGCACTTGTCGGGCCATACCTGGAATGCTGTGGTCAGTTTTGGTCCTTGCTATATGAAAAAGATATGGACAGGCTGGAGAAGGGCCACCAAGATGATCAAAGGACTGGGAAGCCTGCCATATGAGGAAAGGCTGAGAGAACTGCGTTAGTTCAGCCTTGAGAAAAGAAGACTTAGGGGAGACCTTATCACCATGTTCCAGAATTTAAAGGGTGGCTACAAAGAAGACAGAGACTCCCTTTTTACAAGGAGTCACATGGAAAAGACAAGGGGTAATAGGTGCAAGTTACTCCTGGAGAGATTCCAATTGGACACTGTCGTGGTTTGGGCCAGACTGGCCACTGAAACGAATGACAGAGATGCTCCCCTTCGGATGTTCCCCTTTTCACAATGAGAACAATCAGCCATTGGAACAATGTCCCCAGAGAAGTGGTGGATTCCCCAACATTGGGCACTTTTAAGATTCAGCTGGACAGGATGCTGGGCCATCTTGTCTAGATGGTGCTTTTGCCAAGAAAGGTTGGACCAGATGATCCTTGAGGTCCCTCCCAACCTGGTGTTCTATGATTCTATGATAGCGTAGTGGCTGTGCAACCGGGCTGTGGCTGGTACATCTCCAAGCTGTGCCACCCAGCCTGTCCCTGCTGCTGGAGCCCTTGCTCCACCACCAGCAGCTGCCCAGCTCCAGGCAAACCCAACCTTGTGAGAGAGGTTACGAGGAGGCAGAGGGGCCACGGCGTGCTGCTGCAGATGAGGCAGAGGGCAGCTCTGGGTGCTGGGGAATAGGATCCAGCTGTGTGTTTCTCTGCTGTTGCCTGTGAGATCTGAGGTTGCTATCACATCGCAACCCTGGGTTTCAGTTATGGTGGCTTTTGCATCACGGGCCGTGCAGCAACTGAGTACAGCCCTGCTCGCGCTGATGCTGAAGGAAAAAGCTTTGTCACACACAGGTGACAAGCTTTATATTCCTGCAGAAAATGCTCGCAATTATACTTTCTTTCAGCATTTGCAATGACGTTGTCGTAGCTGTCTTTGGTCTGGGCAAATCAGTCGTAAATGCAATTTATTCTTGCTGCACGTCCACTGTCCGTGCCAGCAGCAGAAGCCGTAGCCTACTGCAGCTGGTTTGTTTGTGTTTTATATTGAGTTCATGAATTAACTAGAGGACAAGGTGGACCATTTGTGTTAAAATGTAACTAGGAAAATGGCATAAGGGAATAGCATTTGACTTAAAAGGAATTTATTTAGGTAAAAACGGCATACGAAGCATGAGACTGCAGTTAGCAGCTTGAAAGCCCTTTTTCGGTCAGTAGGTTATCTCATAACTGAACACTTCTTAGAATTGTTTTCCAAGTCTGAAGGCAAAATTTTTGAGAGGCAAATTAGCTGAAGGACACGCAGAAGAGTGAACGTGCAGTGTTTTTTATTTAATTGCTATTTCTTCAAATGGAAAATACGCATTTTGCTTTGTATTAATGGCTTCATTGTAATGATTAATGTCTCTGTGCCTTTCTGTGATTATATTTCACTTAAGTCTGTGGTTACCAGTAACAGTTTGTTAAAAGAAACAAGCGATGGAACATTAGCCACCTCACCGGGCACTAAGAAATTTTCTTTAACTATAATCTCTGCTCCTCTTACAGTCTCTTCTGCGTAACAGGCATTTCCCTCCTTGCCCATGAGAATACAGTTAAATTTTAGGGTATAATGCAAGATCTATCTTTTAACTTGTGTTGGTGGGAGAAGGCAATCACAGCCCCCTCTTTTATTTCATTTAGTTAGTTAGTTAGTTAAATTTTTTTTTGTTTTTCTGCATGTGACTTCCAGGATCATAGAGATCACCCCCTGGCAGCATTTCTTTGTTCAGGCTTTCAGGTATGCTGACAGGATGACCTTTAGGAACCATTGCCCTGCGATAGGGTAAGGTTGGGTCTATTCTGGTTGAAACCAGGTGTTTGGCTAGTTGCTGAAGCCTTTGTGAAATTCCTAAGTTAAAGCACAAGTGATAGAGGAACCACTTTTTCTAATGCTTGGTTTGTTGAGTAAACCTTAGCATATACAGAATATAAAAGTAAGTGGATAATCTTTCAAAACTGAAACTAAAAAAATAACAAATGTGCACCTAAAATAATATTTTTTTTTTCAATTTCATATGAAGCCATTATTTTAAAAGAAGTAAACTGCCAGGGGCTTTGATGGAAGTTAATGGAAATTACTCTGTACTTTCCTGGAAAGTCACCTAAAAAGCAGTATACTATTTTGGCCTTAGCTCTTAAAAAGCTGTGTGCATGGCCTTAGCCTCATGCCACTAAAGCTCACACTACACTACCTTTGTAAAAGGACTTAGTAAAAAGACTGTTCAAAACACAACTAGCTGTCATATCATTATGAGTTACAAAACTTTCCTATAACTAAGAAACTGTACATACCAGTAAATCAAAACAATTCAAGTATTTATTGTCTGCCAGAAAAATAATGTCAGTTATGTAAACTGGATTGAAATTTGACTTATGAAATTGTTTTAGATCTGTGTGTGGTCCTCCTTCCCACACAAATAATAAATATGTGGAGATTTGTCAAATATTTTATGACACTGTTATTTTCTATTATGTACTCAGTTGCTTACAGAAAAAAATGACAGGAACTGCATCTTCCACAATCTGCTCCGAGAAGGCAGTTTTCACCTATGATGCCATCTAATTTCTGAAAACAACTAATAGGTCAGAACAAGGAAACAGTTACTATTTCTTAGGTGTTTTTCATGCATCAGAGGTATTAACAAGCTGGAAAACAGGAAATCAAATTTTACCATCCACTAACAGTTTATCTCATTTTTTTTTAGAGATGGAGCCTCTTCATGCAAGCAACGGTGCGAAGAATAATACGAGTATTTGCACGCTGAATCAATACATGAAACTACAAGGTTGTCAGTTATATTCCAATGATATGCCTGGTGCCATGGCACCAGTGCCATGAGTGCCCCACCAGTTGCTTGTCATCAAAGTTTTCTTTCATTTTGCAAAAAGAGTAAATGAGTTGTTACTAGGAAAGATGGGGGAGATTCACTTGAACTGATTTGGGAAAAGCTAAATTATGGTTTTCCAGCCAACTGTTTGCCTGTGTTACCACAGCTTCACAGGGTGACGTGTGGGATGTTTTCACTGTCAACGGGAAGCAGCTGCCAAGCCAGGTCTCGTGCCTTTTGGGCCAGGGCAAGTTTGACACGCTCTAAACCCTGAGATAATTGGATACAAATTGGAGTAACTGGTCCTTGGCTGTGTGAAGTAACATACAAATTGGAGTAACTGGTCCTTGGCTGTCCTGCTCAAATAAAAATAATTTGCAGAATCCCCTAAATACTAAAATTCTGGGATCATACGTATTGCTACTATTCCTACTGGCATGTCTTTGGAAGTAGTATTTATTAGTTTGTTTTTTTTTTTTTTTACTACAACTTGAGTCTCTCTCCCACACGTGATCACACAACTGTTGGCAGGACTGCTGCTGGCTGCGTTTGGAGTAAGTCACTGCGTTATTATTTGGGTGGGGAGGGAAGGGGGAAAGGAGGACCACACACAGATCTAAACTATACTTTGATAGGTCAGGTTTCAATCCAGTTTACATTACTGACATTATTTATTTCCAGCAAACAATAAACACTTGAATTGTTTTGTTTTACTGATAACGTAGCATTTCTTAGTTATAGGGGAGCTTTGTAACCTGTAATGACATCTCAACTTCCCTGTAAACAGGAAGTTTGAAACTCTCTTCCTACCGTGCTGGTGTGGCTTCTTGTTATCATGAAGTGCCTCCCTGTCTGAACTAACGTACCCTCATGAGAACTTTAAAGCACGCAAGGGCCATCGATGCCCTTGCAGAAGGCACACTACATTGTATAGAAAGTGGCTCAGGAACCCAGGGTGGGTTAAAGCTTCCTGCAAGTGTTGGGTTCAGCAGAGTACGTTGGTGTGGTTGGCACTGCCAGGTGCTGAAGGATGCCTGAGCACTCCCCGTATTCCCCAAAGGTGTGCTCGTGCCCGTGGGGTGTTCAGGTCACACCTATTGCACCTATAATATCACATTTATTTTGCAGAAATGAGAGGCATGGATTTCCCTGCCTCCTTCCTCAGCTTGGGGGGGTTGCTAGTGTCTTGGAGATGACACATTGGAGATTACAATATCAAAACAGAACGGTTTTGAACATGGTCATTCTGTCTTTTCTGATGAAGTGGGTCATATGGAGAGAGGAATGCAAGTTTTACAGGTCAAGAAAGAAGAGGAAATTGTCCAATGGGGGGGGGGGGGGGCTGTGTTTGTTTGCAGTAAGAGATGTGGCTGGTAAAATAGACTATTGTGTTCTGGGACAGTGGGTGTTTCCAGTATCTTCCTGCCATCATCCACTTTAGAAAAACTTAGAAAAACAGGCTGACACGTCAACAAAGGTCAAACGGTGTCTGCTGGAGTGTTGGAGAAGGGATTGTTTGTTGTTGTTGATGAGACATTAGCGTCACAAGTACTGAGCTGGTCAGTTATCAACATTTTCCTTCAGACATCTGAAAATGCACAATTAGCACAGATTTTTGACAGCAATTTCCTTTTCTTGTCAGCATAACATCTTTCTTGTTCAAGTTCAGCTGTAAGACAGGTGTTCTTTTGTAAGGTAGTTTCAAGATTTTATTCTGTTTTCATGATTGTCGTATAGTTAAATATGGCAACAGTTAGGTAAAGCCCTACATCATCTCCACGTTGGTGTTACTGTGTCCTCTGACTAGTATCTCGTACCTTACTGAAGATACATAAAAGGTCCAGTGACATCTTAGGACTCTCCAGGTGAAGAACAGAGCAGCTGAGGTGTTGTTCACTCTCTGCTGTGCAGAGCCTTCTCAAGAGGACTCAGAATTTTTCTGAGCTACTGCAGGTCTTTGCCCCTTTAAGTCAGGCTACAAGATTCAGTTTCTGAAATATACTTGCTCTCCTTTGAAACAATACATTTCAAAATGAGAAAATAATACCTTAACAATCCACTGTCCATAAAGGGAGAAAGATTTCTGCATAATACTCCATCCTTAAACACTATCATCAGTTGTTCACCCACCAATAACTGTGACTTTCAACCTATTCAGTGTTCCATACGTTGAGAAGACAGGCACACATCTTCATTTCAGATTAGTGGAATTAAACGTTAGCATGTTTTGTGCAGTTGAGAAGGAGGCACAGATGCATGGTGTGGAGAGGATAAAGTAGTTTTAAAAAGATTTTTAAAAAAGATAACAGGTCTTGATTAACAAGGACAGAGGTGATGAACCAGTAATTTCTTTTCTTGCTTTATAGACCGTAAATTCAACTGATAGCAATTTTAACTGAAGAAACCCTAACCTAATATATTCTAGTAAAAAAATAATGTAAAATTACTACAATTACATTTTATATTTTGCCAGAATTAATACTAAACAAGAGTCTAAAAATTAAACCACATGGACTTCCTAAATATTTTGTGCTTAGGAACGTGGCTAACACCATTAGCCAGATGTTCCTAACAGTACAGGACTGCAGGCAAACAGCAGGTAATCTGGTTTCTCCTGGGCCAGGCTGTATGTCAGCACCAAAGCTGCTGTGAAGAGGGCTGTTGGCTCTGCTGTGGGTCATCAGCATTCGCAAGGATAATCTCCATGCATATTCCTTGAAATGCCCCAAAGAAGGGCTGGGAGGAAGGGCTCCAAAAAGTTCCTTGATACCCACAATAGTCCTCTTTGCTGGGATGCACCCAGCCCTCCCACCTTGGTTTGGGACCTGCCTGACTTTTAAGGTGGTGCTTGACCTGTAAGCGGAACATTTGCAGTGTTGCTGCTGGCAGAGGAGTAATAAAGAGGAAACTCGTCTCCATAAACAAGGAGCTCTTTGCCCTTCATGTTAAAGGAGAACCTGTTGCAGCAGGTCCAGAGGAGGGCCACAAAAAGGGCTGAAGAACCTCTTCTGCGAGGACAGGCTGAGAGAGTTGGGGTTGTTCAGCCTGGAGAAGAGAAGGTTCCAGGGAGACCTTATAGCTCCTTCTAGTACTTAAAGGGGGCTTATAAGAAAGGTGGGGACAAACTTTTCAGCAGGGCTTGTTGACACAGGACAAGGGGTAATGGTTTTAAACTAAAAGACAGTAGATTCAGACTAGATAGAATGAAGAAATTTTTTACACTGAGGGTGGTGAAACACTGGCCCAGGTTGCCCAGAGAGGTGGTAGATGCCCCATCCCTGGAAACATTCGTCAGGATGGGACAGCCTCTGAGCAACCTGATCTAGTTGAAGATGTCCCAGGGTGTCTGGACCAGATAACCTCTAACGTTCCCTTCCAACCCAAACCATTCTATGATTCTAACGTGGTGAGATGCTTCTCTGTTAAACTGTCATGGCTGATCCCTCACTTCAGGCTATTACATTACTGCCTTTCCTCACCGCAGCACCCACACCGCACTTCCACCAGCCAGGTGCTGCTTTTGGAGTCACTACTGACGGGGTCCCATCACACCTGGGGACAAAACCGAGCACTGCTGCCCTCCAGAGCGGGAAGCCTGGGGGGCTGGCAGGGAAAGGGCAAGGATGGGCAATGGGGGGGAGTGCGGCGTTGGCTGGGGTCAACTGGGCCCTCCAGCCGCCTGCCGGGGTTTGACGCCTCCGCACCCACCCGTGGGCATCCCAGGGCTGGCAACGGGGGCAGGTGGCTAGTAATACCACTTAAACCAAGTGGTTTTCAAGCTGGAACATAGGAAGTTCCATTCAAATATGAGAAAAAACTTTTTTAGGGTGAGGGTGACGGAGCCCTGGAACAGGCTGCCCAGGGAGGTCGTGGAGTCCCCTTCCGTGGAGACTTACAAGACCTGCCTGGGTGAAGTCCGGAGTAACGTGCTCTGGGCAATCCTGCTTTAGCAGGGGAGTTGGACCAGATGATCTCTAGAGGTGCCTTCCAACTCTGACAATTCCGTGATTCCGTGATTAAACCCAAACCAACTCGGGAAAAGAAAAATAGAAAACGAAAATCACAGGTCACAGAACGGTTAGAGTTGGAAGGGACCTCAAAGATCATCGAGTTCCAACCCCCCTGCCATGGGCAGGGACACCTCCCACTAGAGCAGGTTGCCCAAAGCCCCATCCAGCCTGGCCTTGAACACTTCCAGGGATGGGGCATCCACAGCTTCTCTGGGCAACCTGTTCCAGTGCCTCACCACCCTCACAGGAAAGAATTTCTTTTTGTGTCTAACCTAAATCTCCCCTCTTCCAATTTAAACCCGTTACCCCTTGCCCTGTCACTGCACTCCCTGAACAAGCAAAAAGCCGCCGTGGGCGGTGGGGAGAGGGCCGGGGCGGGCGTGGGGGAGCCGTGAGGGGACCCCCGCCGGTTGCGGGGCGGAGCGGAGCGGCGGGGCAGGCGGCAGCGGGCGGGCGGCCGGGTCACTGCGGAGCCGGCGGCCGCACCGGGCGGACCGCCGCCGGTACCGGGGGTCTGCTGCTGCCGCTGAGCGAGACCGAGCAGCAGCGTTACTCCGAGCTCTTCTCGCGGTGCTGCCCGCCCCCCGAGGCGGCCGCCGGGGGCAGCAGCGTGGGCGAGCTGTTCCGGGCCTCACAGCTGCCCCCGGACACGCTGCACCAGGTGGGTCGTCGGAGGGGGGGGGGCGGCTCGTCACGAAGTTGCGGGGATGG